CCATAGCTTTGATGAAGTTGATAATTTGGTTACCCCACATTTTACTATAGTTGTTGTAATGCTTGAAAATATAAGAAGAAATGGAAAAAGAATTTAATTCAATTTGTTCAATACTTTTCGACTATTAATTGATGTTTTTGACAGAATATTACTCTAACTTATCAACAATTTAAAGAAGAGAGTGTAAAAGGAGTTAAAAAGAAAATAATGTGAGTATTAGTAGAGAGTGGAAGAAAATAAAACAATATTTTCTTGATTTCTTCTATTTGAATGGGGTTGAAGAGAATAAAAGAATAATTTTAAATATATACTACTTTTAATCGTAAATAATCAATATTTTTTCTATAAAAATTAACACATAATTTATCTTGGTAAAAAATTGAGGCCCCCTGAAATTGGGGGCCTAAGGCCAATGCCTTATTAAAATATACATAGAGCCGGCCCTGTCTTGAGTACTACTTATTTTGTGGTTTAGTTGAATTTTGAAAATAAAATTGTTATTGATTCTTCTATTTTTGCTCCTGAAAATGACTTTGTGTCACGAAGTCCAAAGTTATGGCTTAGTGTTAATTGAAGTAAAAATATGTTTCAAACATTAAAATGGAGTATCAAAGGCTAACTCATTTTTGTTATGGGCAGATCCTCCATTGTTTGTGCAACTGGGAGACTAGAAGCAGATAAAATAGGAACTCTATTTGCTAGGCAAAAAAAGTCAATTAGCTCTAGTAAATTTTATAATACGTATTATATATCCCGCTCTAGTAGTAGTAACACTCTGCCACTTCCTCATATCGATGCATATCAAGCTATAATATATTACATCGTTTAGTACAAAAAAAAGTTTTAAAAATGGAGCAATAGTTGATATCTTAATTTGCTACTACATACATATACGATAAGTAATGGCAAGTAAGCTCATGATTTTCTCCATTAATTTCTCAAGGTCTAGTCACACAAACTGATAGGCAAAGCCAAGAAGCTAAGCGAGAATCAATAATCAAAGGAAGTTGAACACACTCAAGAACAATAATCACAAACACCAATAAACATGTTAATTAAGCTTAAGATAATAGAGGAGGAATACTTTGTTCATTCCTAAAGAAATTTGTTGGATCAATTTTTGTCTTCACTTTCACCAATCTATCAAAGTTGTTCTTGAAATATTTCTCCCCCCAAATTTTTGCTTGTTCATAGCTTGTGTTTCCTTTGTTGTTCATTCCTAAATCGAGATCTCTATAGTTGAAATAAGCAGCTCTAGGAGATTTTGACACATACTTACCCAAGTATGTGTAGATCTTTTGACTCCAATCTATGCTTCTCTTAGAATCTTCCATTTTTATCCAATAAACCGCATACTCGATCATGAATATATTTCCAGCTCTATGAGGGAAAGGTGTTTCAGATTCTGAAATGTCACTCAACTTTCCTCCATAGGGACTAACCTGTAATTCAACACCTGTGTTTTCGCCCAATTGGTTGTATAGTTTCCATATACCTTCAAGACCCTTTATAGAAATTGGGTGTTGGACGTAGTCTGATTTCCCTTTAAAATATATATGTAGATTACTTGTGGTATTCCAATTTAGTAACGCATCAGGTGATGTGCCATTAGGGAAACCGCCATAGAAGAATATTATAGATTCAATCCAACTCATCTCAATGCAATCTTCTTTCATTAATCCTAGTTCCGGGAAGCTCTTTTGCATCTCATGGAGGAGTTCATCTACTCCTCCAACAAACATTGTAGAGAATATGGCTTGGATACTCCTTTGTCCAGGCTTGAATGGAGATTGAACATTGCTTTTCAGGAAGACCCTCAGGAGGAGATTGTCATCAACTTTGTCCGCTATATGTTGCCATTTGTAAATTAGTTGAGTTGCATTTTGTTCCAACGTTCGTGTCACGTTGAATACAGTTACCTTTTTTGGAATATCATGTAATTTCACTTTCCATGAGATAATGAGACCAAAACTAGTCCCTCCACCTCCTCTAATAGCCCAAAAGTGATCCTCACCAATTGATTCTCGATCCTTGATTTGTCCATTAGCATCGATTAATTTTGCATCAATGATGTTATCAGCAGCAGTACCAAATTTCCGTGCCAACATACCATAGCCTCCACCACTAAAGTGTCCACCAACACCAATAGTGGGGCAAACTCCAGCAGGAAAGGCCAATTTTTTACTTTTTTCTGCGATTCTATAGTAAAGTTCCCCTATGGTGGCTCCAGCTTGAATCCAAGCAGTCTTTTTTTTGGTATCAATGGATATTAATCTTAGGTTTCTAAGATCAATTATGAAAAAAGGAGTCTCTGAAATGTATGAAAGTCCCTCATGGTCATGTCCACCGCTTCGAATTCTAATTTGTAGGTCATGTAAATTGGAGCAATGTATAGCTACCTGGATTTGAGATTCGTTGGTAGGAGTAAAAATAATTGATGGTTTGAAGTCGGAGGTTATCCTTAGGTTATCTGAAAAGGAGTTCAAAAGGGTGGAATATGATGAGTTTTTAGGAGTGTGGATGACTTGTGATGAGTTTGAGTTCATAATTTTGTGAGAAAGGCATTCAAGAAAGTCATCATGAGTTTTGTTGGACCATGAATAGGATGATGAAAACCAAATAGAAAGAAAAACAAAGATTGTAAGCTTAGTCATAATTGTTGGACTAAATGGAAACTAACAACTTCTATTTATAGTTTTACGAGTATTAGTTTTATTCACATGGAAGATGCAGGGGCTTCCTCATGGCTAACGTGGATTATTTGTTTTTATTCTTATTTTTATTTTAGGGTCATAATTATTAATTATTTTTTTGTTTTCTACCCAGTTTTAGTGTCTGGTATTCACATTCTATTTTAGGGTCATAATTATTACTCCTTCTGCCCCATTTTATGTGAGGTAGTTTGACTCGACACAGAGTTTAAGAAAGAAAGGAAGACTTTTAAATCTTATGATCCAAAATAAATGATAGAAATTTGTGTGTGTGTAAATCATTTCATTAAGATTAAAATAAACATTTTATAGTTAAATTGTTACTTAATATAAAAATGTGTTATTCTTTTTGGAACTGATTTAAAAAAAAAGTAAGTCACATGAAATAGAGGGTGTATTATTTTTTTGTTCTCTACCCAGTTTTAGTGTCTAATATTCACATTCTATTTGCTCTTGAAAATTACTCTGTGTCACTAAGTACAAAGAAATTTTATCTTTGAATTTCTTATACTATTGTCATACTCATTCTAAGTTGTATCACAAAATATAAAACGAATAATCCATGTTAAACATGAGGAAGCATGTGCATCTTTATATTTGATTGTGACAACAAATTGAAGAAAATCTTTTAGAATTAATTAATATAAACTAAGCTTCTTTAATATCTCCCTATAAATACAGGTTGTTAATTTTCATTTTCTTCATCATCAAAATTTTCAACAACAAATAAAATAATCAATTATGAGCAAGTACTTAACAATCTTTCTCTTTCTCTCAATCTGCCTAATTTCATCATCATGGGCTAACAAAACTCAGGATGACTTTGTTGAATGTCTTTCTCACAAAATTATGAACTCAACCTTATTATCACAAGTCATCCACACTCCTAAGAACTCATCATATTCAACCATTTATAACTCCTTTTTTTCACAAAACCCAAGGATAACCTCTGACTTCAAACCATCAATTATTTTCACACCTAAGAATGCATCGCAAATCCAGGCAGCTATATATTGCTCCAAGGTACATGACCTACAAATCAAAATTCGAAGCGGTGGACTTTCATACATTTCATACCCTTTTAATGTTACCTTTTTATTTATTATCATTGATGACATAACTTTAACTTTAATAACCATTTGATATTTGATACCATTGGAGTATATATATACTACGGTTGTATGACGGAAGTATATTCTGGTGGTATCAAGGAAGAAAAACTCACTTAAGTGAAAACATTACTAAGTTATTCCTTGATACCATCAGAGTATATAGTATCTATATACTCTAATGGTATCAAATAGTAATTCAATGAAAATACTACTCCTTGATCCCATTAGGTTATATATATATACCCTGGTGGTATACCAAGTATGTATATACCTGATGGTATCAATTTTAACTAAATTTATACTTGATACTACCAGAGTATATATAACTAAATTACTTCTTGATACTATTAAAGTATATATATACTCTGGTGGTATGAAAGAGTTATTCAGAGAAAAAACTACTAATTTACTCTTGATACCATTAGGATATATATATATATATATATATATATATATATATATATATATATATATATATATATATATTTATTTATTTATGAAACCACTACTAATTTACTCCTTGATACCAATGGTATCAAATATTGAATTCAAAATGTATTATAATTATTTTTTATTTTTCTCTCTTATTAAACGATACTAAAAAGATATATAACTGAATTTCAATATTCAAAAAATTATTCAAATTAGTTTATGTGTTATTACATAAACTATAGTTGTAATACAATTTGAATTCAATATTATACATTGTTATAAATTTTATTGTTGTTATCCCAACAAATATAATACATTTTAACAACGTAAAATTAATTTAAATTATACCGTAATATTTGAACTTCACACAAAATACTTATAATACATTTGTATTAAAAATGTTTTAGTTATATATTCAAGACATGCATTTAAATATGCCTATATATGTGTAAGCATTTAAAATGTATTAAATATAAATTTATAAAATGATTCGGATTATATTAAATTCATGAATATATTAGTCCAAATAAATATAATAGATTAATATAGTTTGGTTAATTATTTAAGTCTAATAAATATGGATTTAATTAAAGCCTAAATTAATTGATTTGGGCTACAATGGATTAACCCAGTTGGTTAAGTCCAATTTAATCTCATCCTAGAGGTCCAATTTGGTATCATGTGACAAATAACGTGGAATGCCAAGTCAAACAAGAAGCCAATAAGATCATAACATGTGTCAAAAATGATAAGCCCACTCCATGAGTTTTTAGGAGTGTGGATGAAGTTTACTATAGAATCGCAGAAAAAAGTAAATAAATTGGCCTTTGTTGCTGGGATTTGCCCAACTGTTGGTGTTGGTGGACACTTTGTTGGTGGAGGCTATGGCATGATGTCACGAAAATTTGGTAATTTTGTTGATAACATCATTGATGCTAAGCTAATTGATACTAATGGGCGAATCCATGATTGAGAATCAATATGTGCCATGAACGTTGGAATAAAATGCAACACAACTTCTTGACAAATGGCAACATATCGCAGACAAAGTTGATGACAATCTCCTCCTCAGGATATTCTTGAGAAATAGTGAATTTCCATTCGGGGGTGGGCAAAGGACTATACCTTTTTCACTACAGTGTTCGTTGGGGGATCCCGGAACTAGAATTGATGAAAGGAGATTGCATAGAGATGAGTTGGATTAGATCGATACTCTTCTTTGTCGGTTTCCCTAGGGGCAGAACACTTGATGTGTTGCTAAATTGGAATACCACAACTAATCAAAGAGGATACTTCAAAGGAAATCAGACTATGTCCAACAACCAATTTCTATAAATGGTCTTGAAGGTATATGGAAACTATTCAACCAATTAGTAGGCGAAAACTCGGGTGCTGAAGTACAGTTTAGTCCTTATGGTGGAAAGTTGAGTGACATCTCAGAATCTGAAACTCCTTTCCCTCATAGAGCTGGAAATATATTCATGATTGAGTATGCGGTGTATTGGGGAAACATTGAAAATTCTCAAAGAAACGTAGCTTGGAGTCAAAAATTTTACGTATACATGGTTAAGTATGTATCAAAATCTCCTAGAGCTACTGATTTCAATTATAGAGATCTTGATTTAGATGTGAACAATGTTAATGGAAGCACAAGCTATACACAGGCAAGAATTTGGGGAGAGAGATATTTCAAGAACAACTTTGATAGATTGGTGCAAGTTAAGACTAAAATTGATCCAACAAATTTCTTTAGAAATGAACAAAGCATTCCTCCTCTATTATCTCAAGTTTTCAACTTGTTTGAATGAATATGAAAGAAATGAGTTCTATTTAAAAATTAAGTTCGTTGATTACTTTTGATATCTATTAATATTTATGATACGACCCTTATGACATGATATGTTTTTCATGGTTTCAAGCTATGATGCACGAAATGCTAAACATATGAATATGAGCCACCAGACTTAACTTATGAACATGCTATATAATTCAAAGGAGTTAAATGATTAATCGAGAAGGCATAAGTCTAAGAGATGAATGTCTGAGACTACATTTGTCGACGTTGATTAAAGATCATATCTTTGGTCCGGGCAATTCCTTTATGTAGCCTTGATAAGGGTTGATTATAGATTCACATGATATGTATGTATGTCTCACACTCGAAGTGTGAGATGTTTTAGCTTATTTAGTTGAGATTAGACTCCATGTGCTCATGTGATGGAATGTGTCGGTTATATTAATTAACTCTCGAACTATTTGCGATGATAGACTTACTGACTTTTGTTTATTTATTTCCTTCCATACCATAATTATTATTCTATTGGTTGTTTGGTTTCTCTTATGATATATGTCATGTATCATTCTGCCATTTTCCATGCAATATAATTTCATATCTACTTCGTTCTTTTTGTTGAGGGTGCTACATCTTTAAATGATGCAGATTTAGGTATGCAGCACACGATCAAACAACATGCTAGGCTCTACACTTCATGTTTTATTGGTGCCTAGGGATTAGTGCTTACTTGTGATACTTTAACATATCATGTTAAAGGTATGCTAGGGTCTTGTCCCTGCATGTAGTTTCCAGTTATTTTAGAGGGGTTTCATAGACAGTTAGTAATATGTATTTCACTTCTGACTTTCCTATCATTTTATGAATTTTAGGATTATGATATATGGAAAGTACCCCTTTAAGAAACTCATTTTTGTAACGACCTGTTCCCGTCGTTATAGAAAAGCCAACTGGGAAAAATTTTGGGCCGAAATTTTTTTCCGTAGTATCTTAGAATTTCCCAACCTAGTTTAGATTTGGATGAAATCAGAGTCATTGAATTCTAGGGAAATCTGGTAGAAATTGGGTGATCTAATTATGATTTTGATTACATGAGTAGTTAGATAAGTCGTTAAGGAACCCGTACGACTTTACAGAATTGAATTCGAGTGAGTAGAACTCCTGAAATTGATCTTTGTGTGAATGGGTAGTTTCTGAGTGTCGTTGGTTGAAGGCGTGTTGTGAAATGGGGGTTTTGAAATTCTTTAATTTGCTCATTGTTTCATGCAAGCCGCTTTGGCGATGGTTTATGTCGCTAGGGCGGGGCCGTTGTAGCGGGGTGAGAACCGTTGTGGCGGGTCCGACGCGACTTAAGTCGGAAATAAACCCCAAAAACATTTTATTATGCATTTTTTGACTTTAAGAGCTAATGAATGACCCCAAGTGTTTTCTTGACAGTTTTCCACCATTCTTGAAGCTAAAGGTAAGGTTTTAACTCTTCGAATCCATTTTTAATCTGTAGAACGTAATTTAATGGGTACTTATCGTGGGGGGAGGTTTTGATATGAAATCTATGGTGGAAAAAGCCTTAGTTTGGGTAGTGAGTTCATGGGTATGATCTAGGGTTGTTGGATTTATTAGTAATTCGAGTAATTAGTGATTATTTATTGATTCCCGTATTACAATATTGATTGTTTGTAGACCAAGAACAAGCGGAACGAATCCGGAAGGAAAGGGAAAGATCAAGTTTCTTAGGGTTTCAAGCTTGTTTTGAGGTATGTGATGGTTGTGATTCTATGATTGCGTGATGTATGTTTGTTCTTGCTTCATTATAATACATGTATGTATGCAAATGTTGTGTTATTGATCACATTAATTGTAAATGAGGATATATGAATGATGAATGCCATGAATCATAACTTGATTGTATGATTATGATAATGTACTTTGCGATTGTGTAGTGGCTTGTTGAATGGATTGGGTGTTGCGTTCCGACACACTAACTTGGATCGGTTGCCACGTTCCGGCATAATTATGTGATCGGTTGCCACGTTCCGGCATAATCATTGGATCGGGTACCATGTTCCGGTATGCTAACAATTTGGGTTTGGGTTACATGAGAGGACTAATGACTTGATATAACTGTGATATTTGAGAATCATAAAATTGTTCGTTGTTCATAAAATAATGATAATATTGTATATGTTCGGTGTATGCATGTTATTATATTGTTGTCTTGACTTATGTATGTTGCACTTAGTGGGATAGCCGCGTGATCCTACCAGTATATTGTAGTTGTGTACTGATACTGCACTTGCTCTTTCTTTGTTGAGTACATGGCATCTTCAGGCGGCTATTGACAGACCTCGCTTAGAAGATCAGTGATCGTCGTTCAAATTTAAGGGTGAACCAGTTTTTCCAGGCTGCCATGAGTTCTCTTTCCGTCTATGTCCACATTTCGGACTTAGATTTTCTAGTTAGTTATTAGTCATTAGTTTGTGGTAGTATCCTTTCTTGTTTAGACTTGTTGAACTTTAGATGTTTTGGTACATTGACTTTCAGGTTTTAGGTGTTTTTCCGCATCGTTTAGTTGTTAGATCTTTTGGAAGTTTATGAGAACTTCAGTCTTCGTAACTTAAATGCTTTAGTTTTTGGTTTAGTTGCTTGGTTTGAGTTGTAGTAGTGGTTTTTCCACCGGAGGGTTAGTGTGTGTGTCAATCATGACGGTCTGGGTCGTGACAATTTTTCACAAATGCTCTTAAATCATATTTTCCACTCATGTCTAGATGTATGCTCTCAATGTTTCATGTTATGTATGGATATGCTCGGGTCAATAATCGAATTAGGTGTCGATCCAGTCGAGAATGTAGGCTTGGGGTGTGACGGATTTTGTAAGAGGAAAGTCATAAGTTGAGTGATTTTATCGACACAAAACTAAATTTAATGACTTTGTTTAATAATTTTACATACTTGAGTTATAACCTTTTGAGATATTTACTTAGGGGTGTCAAATGGGCAGGTTGGGTTGAAATTGGAGATATTAAAATGAGTTGAGATAGAAATCGGGTTAGGTCTTGACCCACCTAAATTTACTTTGGGCTCAAATGGGTTGGGTTCAAATGGGCTAAAAAATGGGTTGGGTCTTGACCCGCCCAATTTGACCCGATTAATCTCAATAATTTTAATATAGTGATATTTAACTTTTATAATCACAATTCGAATTTCCACTCAAGATTTTTTTTAAAAAAAGTAACAAATGGATAGATAAATCCTAAAAGATGTTAAATAGATAATAATTCATATCTTTAATATAGGAACATATCTTAGTAAAGAATTTTAAAACGGGTTGAAATTGAAGATTGAATTGGGCTCAATTGAGGATTCTCTTAAAATGGGTTAAGCTTGAATGGGTTGAGATTGAACCCAACCCTTAAAATTCTGGACGGGTTAGGCGAGTTATAACCTATGTTTAGGTTCATTTTTGACACCCCTATATTTACTCATCACAATTACAAAAAATTAGACATTTTGAGTTCAACGTATTATAATTTATGCAGTGTCTTGGACCACAATTACAAGTCGTCAATATTATTATACCTTCTCATTTTATACCTCTGGAGATATATGTACAATATATTATATATGTAGAAATTTATCTTGATATTTTCGTATTAACATCTTTATCCATATTTATCATCTAAAGGTCAAAGTGGATTTGGTAAATGATATTTTTGGGATAATAGACATATAGGAAGTTTGACACAAAACCCCATCAATTTTCATAAATATAGAAAAATTATAATTTCTTATTAAGGTATAGTTTGACATTTAAAAAATCAAGTTGGACAAACGTGTACGTTAATGACTAGAATATTTGTTTAAACTTGGCCTAACCCATCGGTGGCCCCCTAAACTTGGCACGAAGTTTCACTTAGGCACCTCAAGTGGGCAATGATCATTTTAGACACCTCATGTAGGGTCTCGCTGTGTCATTTTGACACTTTTTGCTGACTAAGCACAGTTCGTGTGCTACACGAATTTTGAGCGCGTCAGAGACTTTTTTTGTAAATATTCTGAATTTTTTTGTAAATATTTTCTTCTCCTTCTTCTTCCTTGCTTTCTCCCTTCCATCTTCCCCACCTTCTACCATCCTCCATCACCACACAACTTTTTTTAAAAATTCTACAATATTACTAGGTTACACTCTTTTATTCTTCCATCTTCTTTGAAAATCGAATTTGCATCTTGATTAATATTCAAAAACAAAATTTCAAGGGAACAAAAAAAGAAATCAACTTCTTTCAAATGGAAAAACTGATTTACATTCTTACCTTCTCCATTGAAAATTAAATTGATTTCAAGGAATAAAAAAGAAATAAAGAACAACCTCCAATGAAAAAAAAGAAATTTATTTTACATATCCTTCACTGTAAATCCCAATCGTAGTAGCACAAGAAATCATCTTCTTTTAAATGTCATATAAAAACTTTTCGATTTGGTATGATTTCCCTTATTCTCCAAAACGTATTTTACTTTGTAAACTAACCTATGTTCTTGCCTTTTTGATGGAGAAGAACATATGAAGGGGAAGGAGGCGCAAGAAGAAGAAAAGAGGTGGGGGCATGGGGTTTGGGATATGGAAGAAAGAAAAAAAGAAAGTAAAATTGAGATTTTTAAAAATAAAATAAAATTTCCATGTGTCACATACCAATTCGTTTATTTTTCCACATAAGAGGCGTCTGGATGTACGCACTTAAAATGCGGTTTTGAAAATATAAAAAGTGTCAAAATAACACAATGAGGTTTGACATGAGGTGCTTAAAATGAACAAAGCCTAGTTAAAGTGTCCAAGTGAAAGTTGGTGCCAAGTTTAGGGGGCCACCGATGGGTTAGCCCTTTAAACTTTATGTTCCAATAATGCAGAGGAAATGTTAAGTTTTCTACACAAATTTCTTTATAATACATTGATAATATCCATTATAGTAGATAATCTTATCTATTCGACCATACAATTATATGAAAGTAGGCTATTATAATCAAATCTAGAAGATATGTAAAATTCAAAATAAGAGATTTTTTTTTCTCTAATTAGTTTTATCGATCGTTATCAATGATATATAAATAATTATACGCATGTTATGACCATAAGATAAAAATAAAAACAAATAACCCACGTTAGGCATGAGGAAGATCTTTTATATGAATAAACATCACAATTGACTAATCCTTTTGGTGCTTGGAAGTTTCATTTGTATTTGTCTCCAATAAATTAGAGGTATTAGGATTTGAAACTAATTAAGCTTCTTTAATTTCCCCCTAGCTAAAACTATAAGTAGAAGTTGTTAGTTTCTATTTTCTCCATTATCAAACTTTGCAACAACAAATAATCAATTATGACTAGTTTCAACAAGTTAATAATCCTTCTCTTTCTCTTAATTTGCCTTTCATCATCATGGGCCAACAAAACTCATGATGACTTTCTTGAATGTCTTACTCACAAAATTATGAACTCAAACTCAATATCACAAGTAATCCACACTCCTAAAAACTCATCATATTCCACCATTTTGAACTCCTTTTCAGATAACCTAAGGATAACCTCCGACTTCAAACCATCAATTATTTTCACTTTTACAAATTAGAATTCGAAGTGGTGGACATGACTATGAGGGCCTTTCACACATTTCGGAGACACCCTTTTTCATAATTGATCTTAGGAACCTAAGATCAATATCCATTGATACCCAAAACAAGACTGCTTGGATTCAAGCTGGCGCGACCCTAGGGGAAGTTTACTATAGAATCGCTCAAAAGAGTAAAAATTTGGCCGTAGTTTCTGGGGTTTGCCCAACAGTTGGTGTTGGTGGACACTTTAGTGGTGGAGGGTATGACATGATGTCACGAAAGTTCGGTATTGCTGCTGATAACATCATTGATGCAAAATTGATCGATGCTAATGGACGAATCAAGGATCGAGAATCAACGGGTGAGGATCACTTTTGGGCTATTAAAGGAGGTGGAGGGACTAGTGTTTTATTTAAAAAGATATAGTTGGGGAAATGACTTAGTTTTCGAAAAACCGATTAAACTTATGGTTTAAGAGAAATCGGGTTTCCAAAAGGACAGAGTCGCCACTTAATTTTTAGTAAAAAAAAATCAAGAAAAAATTAAAGGTTTTCAAAAGATTTAAACAGATAAAATCAATTGAAAATAAAAGGGTTCGAAGTTCAATGTACATTCCGAGAAGGTGTTAGGCCCTCGGAATGCCCGCTAACTCGCGGTTGACCGGCGATTTGACTAAAATAACTTTGACTAATTTTTGAAAGTTTAACTAAGCAAAAAAAAAAGAAGAAGGAAACTCATTTATTTTTATTATTATTATTATTTTTATTATCTTTAGGAAGATGGGACTAAATGGGATTTTCCTAAGGGGAAATAACTTGAGTTTCGACATGACTAATATTAAAATAAAGCTAAATAGTAAATAAATACATAAGAAAAAATAAATATTTAACTCTGAATATAAAAAGAGACGGCTATCTTCGGGGAATTAATTAAGTTAAACCAAAGATCAAATAAATATGTTAGTCAAATATAATAAAACAAATAAGAGCAAGGAAATGAGTATCCAAATTTGGGCCTTATCTTGGACCTGCTGAAATAATTGGTTGAGGCCTTGGGCCCATTTTTTTACTTTGAGCGAATTATATACACTGAGTGTATATAGACGTATACGGAATGATTTTCAGCCCGAATGTCTACATTTGTTCCCGTATATTCATTATGCCTATATTCTCGCATTTTTCAGCCTGCAGTTCCAACTTTCCACTCGTATTTTCACGTTCTGACCCGTATATCAGTGTATAAAGGCTGTGTTAAGCTGTTTTCAGCCTTTCAGAATCTGTAATTTTAATTTTTTCAGCCCATATTTATCATTTTTCGACCTTGTACACCTGTTCGTCAACTTCCAATCGACAAGGTTGACTCGATAAAGAGATTTGAGCTTTCACGGCTCATCTCGGAAATGCAAAGAGAGAATCCACAAGGACTCGGACATATTTCATAGCAAGCAAAAGAAAGACAAAATCAAGTTAGCAAGGGAAAACCAATCTTAAATAATAACAAAGAAAACATAACTTAGAAGAAGAAAATTCAAGATAACTACACACAAATGAGAGAAAAGCAATTAACAATTTGCTAGACTTTAGGCTCAAACTCAAATTGGAAAATGGCCACACAAATAGCAGATAAAAATATAAAGCCAAAACTCAATACATACGACCAAATTGAACAAAGATAAGCTCAATAGAAGAACACATACAAAAGGGTAGTTGGTTGGCAAAGACCTAGCTAAAATACTATATAAGTAATTAGAGGAAAAAATGATTAACTTTGACAAGAAAGCTACTGCCTCAAGAAAATCAAAGTCAAACCTCACATTGTATCTCACTAATGCATATTCAAATCACAGTGAATGAACCAAATACATGACACAAGAAATCTAGAAATCATGTCAATGAGATAGCTAACATTACTTAAATCGCAACTACTCGTAGCAAAGAGTCAAAACAATTAGAAAGCAAGCGACAATTTATATCTCTTTTTCTTTTTATTGAAACATTAACTAATACTGAATCACCAAAACAATCATAAGATGAAAAAGGATAGCAACTTTGAAATAGCAAAGAAAGTAGAAATAAACAAAATTCAAGATCTGGAGAGAAAAAGAGACAACAGACGGATAGAGAACTACAAGTATGAGGAGCCTTAGAGACATTAATCACGGAAAATCAAGTCATCAAATCGAACTGATTTCTATCGTCACATAATGAACATGATTATAACGCTTTAAAGAGAGTAATATTGATATTCAGCTCATATCTAGGCACATTCCAAGAGACATGGACATTTTTTCTAAACAACCAATGAAATCTTAAAGTATGTGAGTATTAAGACGAGATCATAATGACATAAGAGACGAGTACAAATCGAGGTACTTGAAATTCATAATAGGAATGAGTACAACAGAAGTATTCACAATAATCTAAAACAGTAGACATAATACAAGTTATTGGACTAACAAAATGACCGAATGGAAATCGCTAAAAAGAATAGTTACAACTAAATTCATTTTGAGAAAATGATTGGCAAGTTAAACTAAAGTAAATCGAGGTTGGAATTTTATTTTATTTTTACCTTTTTGAGGGCAGCGAGCTGAGGCGAGGACGAGCGGAGAACGATTCCACCACTACAAGGAGATTCCTATCACGCAAGCTAGACTCGGGCAGCAAACAAGGAGTCCAAACGAAAACCCGAACAATGAAGTTCCCAAAACTTTAGACTAGAAAATTTCCAAGAATTTCTTTGATATAAATTCGACTATACCGAATTCTTTTGGAAGCTATTCTTTTTGTAGGTAAATGGTAGCCAAACCTTTTTGTATTTTATTTTATTTTTTTGCTCAATTTCTCCTCCCCCCTAACATTGAAAAAGAAAAAAAGTTTATATAGAGGGAGACTAGGGCTAATTTTGGGGTGGAAACGGATAGAAATATTTTTAGGGATTTTGAATTCAAAATTCCAATTTCTTTCAAAGGATAAGGAATATGCTATGATGCTTTCGAATCTTTCAAATTCTTCAACAAACTTGAACGGAAAAATGAGCTCAACCGTCGATTCTGAGCCAAGGACGGTCGAGATGATGAGATTGGGACACGTTGGATGATGAAGGACGAGTTTCCAACGTTCTTTGTACGAACGGATAAGAAAGGCGAGGGAGAGGGACGCGCTTCGGGTCGATTTGCTGGGCTGCGATGCTGTTGCGATGTTGCTGGACTGCTGGTGCGTTTTTGGGTTTCTTCGCCTGAAAAAGAAGAAGAAACGAGGTGGGTCTAATTTGTTTGGTATTGTATGTTGCTGCTGAAGTTGTATTGATGGGTTGGGTCTCTTAAGAATGGAATTTGGGCTGGGAATTGGAATGGGAATGTGGGCTGCTGCTAAGGTAAAAATAATGGGCTGTTGATCTTGGAAGTAAGGCCCAAGTTTGGTCTCAAGAAAAGAATTGGGTGCAAGGTGGGAAATGGGTTAAAATTGTAATGAAATGGCTAGATTTTAAATTGAGGATTTGGCCAAAAGAATTGCGATTATAATCGATTAGGATTACGAATTTAACCAAATCAGATTTACTTGGAGAATGTGGCTAAAAATATAAATAAATAAATAAATAAGATAAATTTAATGTTAATTAATTAACGAGCTTCTTATTCTTAACGAAATAAAATAATTAACTTGATAATAATATAATTAACTTAAACATGAACTAATTAATTCAAAAATCGTAATTATGATTTAAATTAAACTAAGTTAGTAAGACACTTAGCTAAAAAGAAATAAAAATCTTTTGATATGATTTTCAAATATTTATAAAATATACTAATTAGACACATAATTATATAATAATTAACTTAATCATAAACTAATTAACTCGAAATATAAGTTATTAATTAATTTAAACCAAATAGCCGAATATTTAAATAAAACTAAAATCGTTTTGAGACAATTTTCGAACATTCATAAAATATACTAATTAGACACATAATTATATAAAATATCATGTTTATTATTTTAAAATTTATAAAAATGACAAAACTACTTAAAATGACTTGAAAATTATTTTGAATTTTATAAAGCTAATTATTTCAAATTGTTTAGAATTTTAAGAAGCTCGGGAATTAATTACTATCGGGGAGGGTCAAAATTGGGTGTCAACAACTAGTTTTGGTCTCATTATCTCATGGAAGGTGAAACTAGTCGACATTCCTGAAAAGGTGACCGTGTTCAACGTGACACGAAGATTGGAACAAAATGTAACTCAACTAGTCTACAAATGGCAACATATCGCGAACAAAGTTGATGACAATCTCCTCCTCAGGATGTTCCTGAGGAGCAATATTGAATTTCCATTCAGGCATGGACAAAGGATTGTCCACACCTTTTTCACTACAATGTTTGTTGGAGGAGTAGATGAACTCCTCCACGAAATGCAAAAGAGCTTCCCAGAACTAGGGTTAGTGAAAGAAGATTGCATTGAGATGAGTTGGATCGAATCTGTACTCTTCTTTGCGGGTTTCCCTAGGGGCACATCACTTGATGTGCTACTAGATTGGAATAGCACAACTAATCAAGAGTACTATTTCAAAGGGAAATCAGACTATGTCCAACACCCAATTTCTATAAATGGCCTTGAAGGTATATGGAAACAATTGAAGATTGGTGAAAGTGAAGACAAAAATTGATCCAACAAATTTCTTTAGAAATGAACAAAGTATTCCCCCTCTATTATCTTAAGCTTAGTGGTAATTAATTTATGCACTATACAAATCAAAGCCATCTCCGGTACTTGTCTAAAAATAAGGTTTTTTAGATATTTCTTTTACGTGTATATCTACTACTATAGTACTGAAAAATAAATGTAGCCACGATGCGTTCCAAAGATTATGTAAAAATATTGTGTACGAATGAAACAACTTTTTTTTTTGTTTCTAAAAATGCTCTTTTTAACCATTGATACAAATCATGTAGAGTGATTTTATAAGAGAAGAGTCATATGTTTAAATGATTTTATTGATACACACTAAATTCAGCGACTTTACTAAATAATTTGGGTTACTTATAAATATGTACAAGTAACAAAAATTATATATTTTATAATGGTTGTATATGTAATGTATCAATATGGATGTATGTATGGCTACGTACCTTTTTGAAACATAAATATTGTGTTAGAGCTCACTGTACTGGTAAAAAGTGGGCTTCTGGTAATTGATCACATTTGTGGAAGATGATGACTCAAGTAAGGAGCAGCGCGGAAAAGCACATGATTATATTTGGCAAATTAATTCAGGATGGAGTGAGTAGCTTCTGGTGGGATAATTGGAGTGGAAAAGGTCCTCTTGTCCACAAAAACCTAAGAGGCTCAAACCATTCCCTATGAGAACTAGTGTTTGCAGCTGGAGAACTTTCCAAATTTGGGTCTATTAAAGCTTAACACTGATGGGAGTTTCACTTCTCCTACTGTTAAAGCTGGTATATATAAGAGGGGTGTTAAGAGACGACAAAGGTGAATTTGTGATGACCTTCTCTTCACCTATACAATATGACAGTAATTTGGAAGCAGAGACCTTGGCAGCTAAATATGGTTTGAGCAGATGTATACTTTTGAATTATAGAGACTTTACCCTTGAAGTGGATTCATTACCTCTTGTCCAAATGATCAACGAGAACAAATGCTATAATTATAAACTATTAAGGATCATTGAAGAGGTTCAACATCTGAAGAAACTTGCTAATGTCAAGGTAGAAAACTGTTTCAGGGAGATCAATACGGTTGCGAACCATCTTGCTAAATTAGCCGCGAGCAATCAGAATGAGGCCTATTATGACACCTATCAACAACTTCCAATGGGGACTATGGGTCCATTCCAACTTGACAAGAACCAAATGCCTTCTATAAGTCTCAAATATGACAAGGCAATTTTTTTTGTTAGTTAGCCAGATAGATTGTTCTTTTTTGTGAGGGTTGGACGGTCTAAGATAGCTCATCTGCTCTCTTTTTGAAGGATAAATTTGTATCCTTGTGTTATGTTCGGAGGTAAGGCCAACCCCCCCTCTTGTATGCATATTCCGATATATAACACCTCAGACATGGAAAATTTTTAAAAAATAAAATTTAAAAAATAATGTATAATTGTGTATAGATGATTTAAAATTATGTATTAGAGATGTATATACATTTATATACATTGTTGATACAATAAAGTATACATTGCAAACCTTTTTTTTTATATATAATCCCAACCAACTCAAATCTCCTCTAGATAGTCTCAAAATTTAGATATAAACTCCTCTCAATGTTTAAAGTCTTTTAATATATTATTCATCCGAAATAACTCATATTTGCGGCACATCAAATTTTAAAATTAATGTCTGGGTACGGAAGAATAAGAGGATGAAGAAGGAAAGCAACGAAAAAAGAAAGAAGAATTAAGAAGAAGAGGCTTGTAGCTTGCTTCTGTCCTTAGTCAGTTTTGGACTGAAGCTATTCTGACTATCGTATCTTTTTTTAACCGAATACCTTCCTCTATAATCTCAGGTCTCTCTCTTTTTGAGAGAAGATTTTCTAGAATGGAAGCTTCTCCTTTACTTTTTTAGAGCGTATCACTATTTTGAAATAAAAAAAAAGATTTATGGATGAAGTAATTATTGGTGCTAAAGGGAGAACTGCGAGTTGCCAACCCTAATATGAGAGGACTGGGTTGGGCTAACCTATGATGTACCAGATGTTATACTAATAGCAGAAGCAGTAACAACAAGAGGAACTTTCGCAAATAACAACTATAATAAACTTAATTATGCTCCATAGTTATAGTTTGCATATTTATGGGTTGTAGCTACAATTTAAGCTATCTCGTTTGTATAATTCGCGGATATGTATAAATTCGCAGGTTTGTATAATTCACGGGTACATTTGTATAAATTCGAAATATATAACGAATTTATACAATTACAAACATCAAAGTGTAAACAATTATACAAATTATATTATACAAATTACGAATTATACAAAAGTTATACAAATTATATTATACAAAATCTGAATTATACAAACGTGCGAATTATACAAAACTAAAAAGTTGAGTTGCGTAATTATAGCTAAAAGTAGGCCGCGAATTGTAAATAAGGCAAACTATAGTTATGTTAAGTAATTAACTATTATATGTTTGCTTATATGTAATTTTCCCTAACAACCACAACCACAATTAGTGTCTTGAGTATGGAAGAAGAAAAGTGAAGTAGAAGGAAGAAGAAGAAGTTAGGTAATCTTGATCCAATAGACATTTTGTTTAGTTTTCCGAAATAATTTCATATACTTAATAAGCTTTCGATATATTTACTCATCACAATTACTTCAAAGGATGAGAGTAGCCTTTTGTAATTTGGAAGCAGAGGCATTGGCAGCTAAATATGGTTTGAGCAGATGTACACTTTTAAATTATAGAGACTTTACCCTTGAAGTGGATTCATTATCTCTTGTCCAAATGATAAACGAGAACAAATGCTATAATTATAAATTATTAAGGATCATTGAAGAGGTTCAACATCTGAAAAAACTTCCTAATATCAAGGTAGAACACTATTTCAAGGAGGTCAATACGGTTGCAGACCATCTTGCTAAATTAGCCGCGAGCAATCAGAATGAGGCCTATTATGACACCTATCAACAACTTCTGATGGGGGCTAGGGGGCATTTCAACTTGACAAGAACCAAATGCCTTCTATAAGGCTCAAATATGACAGGGCAATTTTTTTTGTTAGTTAGCCAGATAGATGTTTCTTTTTGTGAGGGTTGGACGGTCTAAGATAGCTTCATCTGTCCTCTTTTTGAAGGATAACTTTGTATCCTTGTGTTATGTTCGGAGGTAAGGCCAAGCCCCCCTCTTGTATGCAAATTCCGATATATAACACCCTAGACATGGGAATTTTTTCTTAAAAAATTGAATAAATAATGTATAATCGTGTATAGATGATTTAAAATTATGTATTAGAGATGTATATACATTTATATACATTGTTGATACAATAAAGTATACATTGCAAACTTTTTTTTTATATATAATCCCAACCAACTCAAATCTCCTCTAGATAGTCTCAAAATTTAGATATAAACTCCTCTCAATGTTTAAAGTCTTTTAATATATTATTCATTCGAAACAACTCATATTTTCGGCACATCAAATCTTAAAATTAATGTCTGAGTACGGAAGAATAAGAGGATGAAGAAGGAAAGCAACGAAAAAAGAAAGAAGAAGAAGAAGAGGCTTGTAGCTTGCTTCTGTCCTTAGTCAATTTTGGACTAAAGCTGTTCTGACTATCGTATGTTTTTTTAACCGAATGCCTTCCTCTGTAATCTCAGGTCTCTCTCTTTTTGAGAGAAGATTTTCTAGAATGGAAGCTTCTCCTTTACTTTTTTAGAGTGTATCGCTATTTTGAAATAAAAAAAAGATTTATGGATGAAGTAATTGTTGGTGTTAAAGGGAGAACTGCGAGGAGCCAACCCTAATACGAGAGGACTGGGTTGGGGTAACCTATGATGTACCGGTTGTTATACCAATAGCAGAAGCAGTAACAACAAGAGGAATTTTCGCAAATAGCCACTATAATAAACTTAATTATGTTCCATAGTTATAGTTTGCATATTTATGGGTTGTAGCTACAATTTAAGCTATCTTGTTTGTATAATTCACATATTTGTATAAATTCGTAGGTTTGTATAATTCGCGGGTACATTTGTATAATTCAATTATTTTTGTATAAATTCGAAATAACGAATTTATACAATTACAAACATCAGAAGTGTAAACAGTTATACAAATTACGAATTATACAAAAGTTATACAAATTATATTATACAAAATCTGAATTATACAAACGTGCGAATTATACAAAACTAAAAAGTTGAGATGCGTAATTATAGCTAAAAGTAGACCGCAAATTATAAATAAGGCAAACTATAGTTATGTTAAGTAATTAACTACTATATGTTTGCTTATATGCATAATTTTCTCTAACAACAACAACCACAATTAGTGTCTTGAGTATGGAAGAAGAAAAGTGAGTAGAAGGAAGAAGAAGTTAGGTAATCTTGATCCAGTAGACATTTTGTTTAGTTTTCCGAAATAATTTCATATACTTAAGTAAGCTTTCGATATATTTACTCATCACAATTACTTCAAAGGATGAGAGTAGGCCTTTTGTAATTTGCGCAGTTTCTTGGACCACAATTACAAGTCTTCAATATTACTATATGTTCTCATTTTATATCCAAGTGGCATAGCTATATTGTCCTAGCGATGGTTACTCAAACATCTTTTGTCAAAAAATTAAATTGTGCATATAGAAAATAATACTTATTTATAAATCAAAATCAACTTTTTAGAAATATATGCTAAAGTTTTAAATATCCTTAGTAAAATTTCTAATTTTACCGTCATTTTATTTCCGCAGATATATAGAAATTTATCATAATATTTTTCCATCCGATAGCGTCTAAGAAAATTATTAGCATCTTTATCCATATGTATCATCTAAAGGTCAAAGTGGATTTGGTCAATGATAATTTTTGGACAATATACATATAGGAAGTTTGACACAAAACCCCGTCAATTTTCATAAATTTAAGAAATTACAATTTCTTATTAAGGTCTAGTTTGACCTATAATGCTCAATTTTCTCCAAA